CTTCCAACGACTATAGGGGAGTTTTCCCGAGAAGAACAAGTCGAATTTGAAGGTCATGGCTGCATCGACCAAATCTTCACGCTCCGTCAACTTCTCGAACTTCGTCACATCCACCGGCGGTCAACAATCGTAGTGTTCTTAGACATCCGAGCGGCATTTGATTCAGTAGATAGGCCTGCTCTTCCCTAATCCGAGATTCCCGTTCCGCAGTGAGGCGACGAACGATAATCGAGGCCAGTAATTTTGTCATAACTGGCGTTAAGCTAATACCCCTGTGGTTAACACAGTCTGTGCGACTGCCCTTTTCGTATATTGCCACTATAATCGATTCGCTTCAATTAGCCGGCACACTCTCTTCGTTCCAGATATGTTCGAATAGGGAGGTCAGTGCTTTGCAGAGGACATCACCTCCATCCTTAAATAGTGCAGGTGGGAGGGAATCCGGACCAGCTGCACGAAAACGATTGAGGGCTGTAATCGAGTTTCGGACTTCGGCCTCCGACGGAGGCTCTAAACTAACCGTCCATGGCACGTCCTGCATCACCTGAGTAGGAAGAGGACCGGGAGCAGGTGGCCAGCTGAACTGATCTTCAAAGTGTTCCGCCCAACGAGCCATACGGTGCTCCTTATTGTGTATCAGCGCACCCGCGCTGTCTCTGATTGTCTCAATGACGCCTGGTTTTCCGGGACCAGTGGCGCGGATTAGCTGGAAAAGCCTGCGGTAATTGCCTACTGCTCCTGCCTCCTCCAATTCTTGAGCCCGACTGGTCCACCAGGCTTCCTTGTCAGCACGTAGGCTCCGCTTTAGTTCACGCCTAATAGCCCGTCTGGTCACATTGTGTTCAGAACCAGCCGGGAGGTGTCTTCTAGCTTCCAACAGGATCACGGACCACTCGGATATCCAGTGACTGGTGCGGTGACGACTGATGGTGTCACAAACAGATGCTCCTGCGTCGTGCATAGCGGCCGAGATCCTATTCCACTGAAGTTCAGTGTCATTAGGACAAGACAGCGAGAGTTTGCTATGCAGTGCTTCTTGATAGGCTTGCCTGACAGAGGGCTGGGACAATTTCTCCGTTGCCAATCGGAGGAGACGATTTGTGCGCCTTCCGGTAAAGTTCATGGAGAAACGACAGCGTACCAAGGCATGATCAGAGTCGACACAGGTACTCCAGTACGAGCGGCAATCCAGAATGGAACCGCGCCACCTGTAACATACGGCTATGTGGTCAATTTAGGTCCATCGCTGGCCAGCTACAGGTGGACGCCAAGTGGCACTTCGGCGCCCACTGTGTCTAAAAGCAGTGCTACTAAGAAACAACTGGTGCTCCGCACACAGTTGTAGCAGACGCTCGCCGTTGTCAGTCCGTTCGGAGTTAAATCCATACTTACCACCCAGCTGAGCTTCTGAAGAACTCAGACGCCCTATTTATGCGTTCATATCCCCTGAAAGTACTATAATATCTGAACTAGTAGCACTGCGTAGTAGGGCGTTCAGTTCGTGATAGAAAGTGTCTTTGACTGCGTTAGAACTGCAGTCGGTGGGAGCATGAACGGAAATCACAAACAAACAGCGTTTTGTATTACTTCGTGAATTCACCTTAGCTGATGTCGTCAAACGGATTGCACATAAAGGGCTGTTCCCCGGAATCCAATCAATCAGCGATGGCTCAGCCTTGGAGCTTAGAATGATACCTACACCAGCTTGACCCGTGAGTGCCGCATCAGCGTCTCCGGATGCGTGCAACCAATAACGAGAGGATAAGCCGGGTGCAGTCAATTCAATAACCCCGTTAGGGTCATTGATCCTAGTTTCGGACACACAACACATCAACACCCAGTGTGCCCAAGGTGCGCGCGAGTGCAGCCTGCTGATCTGTTTGTCTTAGAGTGCGGACGTTGAATGTCGCCATGGAAACGGGACAGCGTGGCCTTATAAGGGAATTTTGCCGATAGGCGTCCGATAGGTGCTGTGGGATGGTGGCTGCAGATGGTGCTACTCCAGTAGCACTTCGGTTGCTGTCAATTAAGATGGGAATTATAGAAGGAAGGTTAGTAATGGGGGCCGGGATGGGAGTAAGAGAAAAAGGTGGAAAAGAAAGAAGGGAGGCGCCAGCAGTAGCATGTTTTCGCTTATCCGTCCTGCTGTATGCAGCAGATAAGGCGACCCTTGATAATCTGCGCAAAAGGAAGATGCAGGATGAAGTTTATGTTTGAAGAAAATGTCATGGTTGTCCTGTCCAGGTCTGGGCGCCCTGGCAGTATCCCAGCCCACATACAACCATGACATTTTACAACCATATATATATATATATATATATATATGGTTGGAAAATTGTCATGGTTGTAGCCTGTGGGCTGGGATAGACTGCCAGGGCGCCCAGAACCTCGGACAGGACAACGCCTATGACATTTTCTTCAAACATAAACTTCATTCCTGCATCTTCCTTTTGGCGCAGCTTATCAAGGGTGCGCCTTATCTGCTGCATACAGCAGGGCGGATAAGCGAAAACATGTTACTGCTGGCGCCTCCCTTCTTTCTTTCCACCTTTTTCTCTTACTCCCATCCCGGCCCCATTACTAACCTTCCTTCTATAATTCCCAGCTTAATTGACAGCAACCGAAGTGCTACTGGAGTAGAACCATCTGCAGCCACCATCCCACAGCACCTATCGGACGCCTATCGGCAAAAGTCCCTTATAAGGCCACGCTGTCCCGTTTCCATGGCGACATTCAACGTCCGCACTCTAAGACAAACAGGTCAGCAGGCTGCACTCGCACGCACCTTGGACACACTGGATGTTGATGT